AAAAAAGGACTTCCGTCATGAGCAATTGAGCGACCATCTCAACACGCTTTAACTCCAACCATTATAAGCCTCACTCTAGCTCTTTACCATATAACCTAGACCCAACCCTCTAAAACCTCTAGATTTCATTGTGGTCCCCCATTTTAAATGGCATTTCCCAACCAATGAAAGTTTAGTAAACTAAAAATAAAACTCACCATCCTGTGGCCCCTCCGATAAAGACTTGCTTTGCTGCTGATTGCTTGGTGATATCACCTAAGATCATGTGCTGCACTGAAGACAGTTTGCCACTCGGTTCAGAATCAATGAGGATGTAGTCGCCTTCTACCAATTCCTCCGATATTTCTGAGACGAGAGTTTTGATTTCATCCATTTTTTTCGACATTGTATAGTTGCAGGTACGTTTTTGGTCTCGTATCAACGTTCAAGTTGCTTCAAGTTTTCTTCTTTAGTTTTATTTAGAAATAGTCAGCCCCAAATTTGTCAACGTACTGACAATACTTCAACAAGACTAATAATTCACCCTTCACTCCTGTGCATAGACCTGAAACTTCTAGATTCTAGATCTAGAGGTGAGGCAAGGACAGAATAGATTCTACAACCTCTCTTCTCTCACAGACTCAAAACCTCTTCGCCCCTTGTCTCTATGCATGTAGATCTAGACGTCTAGATCTAGATGGCCAAAGAGCACAGGCCAAGGGCTTTTTATGACCACCCAGTAGAACTTAAATTGTACTGAACTGTGAGCTTAGAGATCGAAAGTCTAACCGAAGCCTTTCTACTTTCTTGTTCTCCCTCCTCTTCTCTGAGAACACAGAGTCTGCAACAATTCAAGAAGATCTACTAGATCTAGATCTACGCTGTGATTATTGTGACCGTGAGCCGTGAGCCGAAATGACCGGCAGGAAGAGAGGTGCTCAGTGCTCAGTGCTCACTCACAGTTGTTTAGGGAAGTGACGTAACATTTTTCCAAAGCCTTCGGATTTCACGAGAACTTTTATGTTCGCTGTATTTCTTTTCAATAAAAAAAAATTCTTTGCTTTCATTTTAATTTGTGTCCCGGGGAAGCAAGGAAAGGGGGAGGGGGGAATTCAGTCTTTTCCTCTTATAATATATGAAGGAAATAAAAATCAATGAAACCGAACTTCTGGTTCGAAGGTGGTTATATTCCAGGCTTAACAAATTTCTATCCTTGATCTCGGCTAGGCCTACTCTAAAGTATCGAAATTTTCAAAAAAGAAAGGGGAGTAGGAGAAGAAAAGGGGGTGGACAAGAGGTCCAAAATTAATCAACGGGATGGGAGGGGGGTGGTGGCACATTCAACCTCATTATATAGGATATATAGGAACATAATTTAGTATGTTTTAATTCTCCTTCAGTGAATAAAAGAAGAAGAGATAAATGTTTAAAAGTTTTTTTTTTAGATGCACAGAAAATTGAGGTAGCCAACCCGGAAGGCCTACCTGTAGGCTACTGACACTGTTACTTAGTGTAATTTGCCATTTACAACAACAACAACAACAACAACAACAACAACAAATATGTAATTCAGATAATCCAGATTCAATATACAATGTTTCATAATATGATCGTTGGTCGTGGCAATTTTAAGCTGGAAAATAATAAACAAAGGTTGTGGAATAAGGAGCAGAGGGG